AAGCTTCTTTGGAAAAACCTATTCCAAGGACACCCTATGATTATGATGATATAGTCAGTGGCCTTGACAGTGGGTACACTACACGAGGATCATCCTTCAGCAGCAGAATCATGCATGATATACCACAGTGACTTTAAATTTAATGATCAAACAAGGCCAGGTTGGTCATCATCATTATTATTAGTATTATTTTATCATTATTTACAGCGTACATGTACACATACTTTCAAAAAGGTTGTATGTAGATGGAGTACGAAAAATTTCTTTCAAAACCTCCAAAAAATTGTCAATATTTTCAGTCTACAGTACACACAGCAAAACATAAGCTCTACCCACAAACCACACCACATACCTTATTATAATCACCAAAAGCTCTCTTGAATTTACTCATAGAGTTCTTACATAAATGTGATTTCAACTGTTCAGAAAAAACTTGAGCAGAAGGTCTTTCACTAGACGAGATAGTCGCAGCTGATTTCTGTTAAAGAGAGAGAGAGAATCAATAATAAATTAAGACGTAAAGTTACTTTATCATCAATTATTATTATTTTCTTTCTTTTACTGGCTGGTAACGAGTCTGAGTTACCAACTGAACGAAGACACTATAATCAAATAAATAATAAAAATAACAACAATAACAACAACAATACACTACTTGTGAGGTCTGAGGGATCTCATCTCTTTTCTCTTCTTCTCTTTTTCTAGATGCAGCCATAGCAACATGATGAGGTTGAACAGGATGTAACTACGTTGTACATGTACATGTAGAGTTAGCAGCAAATTTCATTCACTGTGAAAACATGTAAAACGTGTACCTCGTCAAATTTTAGGGAGCTTAGTAGATCACATCCACTTTCTGTTTCACTCTTTGAAAGTGATGCTAAAAATAGTAACAATAATAAAGAAGTCATCAATTACTTACCAGTAGTATAATCTTCAATATCAATATCTTCAATCTCGTCGTCATCTTTAAAAATAGCATCAGGGTTTAATTTAACCACACCCCTAGCTCCACCCACTATCCCTGAAGTATAATCAGGTTTGACATCAGGTAAAGAATTCTTAATAGATACCAAATGACCATACTAATAATGAGAACAAAATACTAATTATTATTATTATTATTATTTATTTATTACTTTATTTTGTGCTGTTTTAAAAAATGATGTAAGGTCACGTTGGGCTGGACCAAACTTATTGTATTTTAGAAGTTGAGGTCTTAACCAAAGAGGGAGATCATCCTGTCCCCTTGAATAAGCAAACCTATTAAAACACTATAAATAATGTATACATGACATGTACACCTTTTCTCTTCCTCTCTCTTTCAAAGTCTCTCCTTCATTCATCTCTTCGTCCCACTCTATCCCTCTCTC